CCATCACTCTCCTCCTAGTATATTCTTAAAAACTAAGTTTTTAAAATGTTTTTTGGAAAAATAAAAATCCAAAGTGGTAACACATGTAACATACCACACGTATATTACATTGCATTGATATATATTAATGTATCTCTAGTGGTATTGTTACTGCTAATCTTTTGTAAACCATATATGTATGTATATCTGTACTTCGTATACTGTATCATTATTGCGTTTGTCGAATAAATTATCTTTAAACACATATACACGTTGATATTCTTTTACCCTATGCGAATATTCCAGAGTACGAATGAGTTCTGTCTCTTTCGTACTCTCCTCCGTCCTAACAGCATCCTTCTCCTACTCCTAATAAAATTCAAAATTCAATTCTCGAAATTGTATCTTTGGGAGGCTGTATCTCGAAAACGGCTGGGTTTAGGGCTTTTTCCTTGAAATTTTGAAAGATCTCTTAATAGACTGCGATAGGTCCACTTTTAGAAAAGGCTGGTACAGGTCAAATTGCGATAGGGCCACTTTCAAAAAATTCCTGTACTTTTTGGTACTCTCAGACTTTTTTTGAATTTTGAAAATACTCGAAATTTATCTCGAAAACGGCTGGGTTTAGGGCTTTTTCCTTGAAATTTTGAAAGATCTATTAATAGACTGCGATAGGCCCACTTTCAAAAAATTCCTTTACTTTTCGGAACTTAGGAATATTAAAAAATTTGCATTAGTTCGAATTTTTGCCGATAAGGGGGCAGCACCTCCTGGGCATGATAAGTGGCGCCATCTCTAAGAGAATGAGTGAACTTTCTCGATTAAAACAATTCCGAATTCAATTTAAAATCCGATCTTCAAAATTTCAATGGGTAAATCTAATTAAAGAATTCGCATTAGTTCGAATTTTCGCCGATAAGAGGGCAGCACCTCCTGGGCATGATATGTGGCGCCATCTCTGAGAGAACGAGTAAACTTTCTCGATTAAAATAATTCCGAATTCAATTTAAAATCCCATCTTCGAAATTTCAATGGGTAAATCTTATTAAAGAATTCGCATTCGATAAGGGGGCAGCACCTCCTGGGCATGATATGTGGCGCCATCTCTGAGAGAACGAGTGAACTTTCTTCGATAATAAAATTCCGAAAGCAACTCGAAAATCAGCTATATCAGGCTGGTACAGATCAAAATGCGATAGGGTACTTACAAAAAATCCCTTTACTTTTTGCAACTTGCAGATGGAATGAAAGTAATTGCAGAGAAAATGCAGCATAGCCGAAAAATGGTGTAGAAGCATAAGGTTGGAAGAGAAGGAGAAGGATGCAGTTAGGACGGAGGAGAGTACGAAAGAGACAGAACTCATTCGTACTCTGGAATATTCGCATAGGGTAAAAGAATATCAACGTGTATATGTGTTTAAAGATAATTTATTCGACAAACGCAATAATGATACAGTATACGAAGTACAGATATACATACATATATGGTTTACAAAAGATTAGCAGTAACAATACCACTAGAGATACATTAAAATATATCAATGCAATGTAATATACGTGTAGTATGTTACATGTGCTACCACTTTGGATTTTTATTTTTCCAAAAAACATTTTAAAAACTTAGTTTTTAAGGAT